GGCCGCCGCTGTGCCGCGGGGGCCCCTCCCCGAGGGGGCCTCGGCTGTCCCTGGCTTTCCCGCACTCAGCTGCCCGTCTGAGACGACGGCGCTGGGGCAGTGCCTTCAGGTGCCCTCTGGACGTTCCTTTCAGCCGCAGCTGCGCAGGGAGATACCTGTAGCCGCAGGGCTTAGTTTACGGCGTTGCTTACGTGGAACTGCTACCACAGGCTTGCTTTAAAAACAAATTTTACAGCTTACTTTTAAGGGCATAGTCAGTAGTGTCCAAGAAAAGAACTGCTTGGAGATGATGGAGCCAATACAAAAAACATCCTTTCAGGGCAGTTTGCACTTGGAGGTTCTGTGTGTGTTTTTTCTGTTTTAATTTTTCTTTTCAGTTGAAACTTGATCATGCATGCTTCCCTCTTCATTTGAAAATATCCTCATTTTGCCCACAATGTGGTGAGTTGCCCTTTTAAACTTGGATTTGTATCAGTCGCTTTTCAGAGCAGGATGGTACTTTATGTCAAAGTAAAGAACAGCTTCTAAAGAAGAAAACATGCTTTTCTTTAAACAAATCATTCATCCTTATGAACGAGCACTTGTTTTCATCATGATGCACATGCTCTAAATATGTAGTGAGAGCTAATGCATATCAACTAAGGTGAAAACCAAATGCTGAGAAGTCACCCTGATCCCACCTGGTAACTTCAGGTGCATTTTTTTTCTAAGTCCAATATATAATGCGAATCAGACTTGGTCAGTTTTGTTCAGACCTGAATGTAGGTTGATTATAGATCCAAGGAAACAAAACTAGAGAAATAACCTGTAAATCATAGTGACGTTGCTTAATTATTTCTTTCTAGAAATATATTGCACAATTTTTAAATTTCCTTTTTCAGAATTAGCTCATATGGATTTTGTCTCCTGTGTTTAAGTGTATGGTTGTTATTTCATGTAATCTACAACTCTGTACAAACACACACGTGCACATGTGAACATAAAGTTCTATTAAGTCAAAATTCTGTTTTGGAAATGCTTTTAATATTTTCAGGGAAATGAATTATATTTTATTCAGGATGGGATTTAAAGGAAAGTTCTAGTTAACCTTACCTTAACTTTTTATTTATTTTATTTATTTTTTTTATGAGTAGTCTTCTTCTTGTAAGTTGAGGATATATGTAATTATGGTAAATTAAATACAATCGTTTGAATACATTTCACTCTTTTCCCTAAAATATTTATAATATAAATCTTATTTCTAAAAATTTGTTTACTAGTATTACGAAGCAACATACTCTATTTGATTAGTTGTTTATATCATTTTAAAGATGTGTGGTCACTTCAGTTCAGAGCACAGTGACCTCTGACTTCATTCATATTGAAAGAGGGTGTATGAGACCTCTTCATTTTTAGAGGATACGTTTTTATTGTTGCTGGGATTAAAATATTCTGTTTGTGGTGAAAATGTTTTGGGAAAGTAGTGTTCTGACAGAATGTGTCTCAGTGCAGGCATTTGATGCCTAATTTTTTCATCCCATAGTCTTAATAATTGAAAAGAGACATAATTGAGACACAGTGGGGTGAGCAGCAGAAGCTACACTGTAGAACACTTCACTGAACTGGACTCCGTCTTAATGTGTTTCTTACTTCACCCTGGTAGTAGACACAAAGCTGTGGGTCATGAAGGCTGTGAACTGCACAGCCCCAGAGGGTGTTGTACATAATGCAGTGAGTCTATATGAATAGTGCCTCTTAGTGTTTTCCAGTGATCAAATAGTATGTGGTCATTCTATAAGGAATTCCAAATGTTTATTCTATAAATAACTTATCTCACTGAATGAATAAGTGTTGAAGGGTTGTTTTGGAGAGTTAAGGCATCATAGATATTCCCTATCCATTTATATCTATACATAATATGTTTATGCAAGTAAATGTATGCACATGGGTGTCTTATAAAATACCACCATAGTGCTAACCCAGCGATTTTCTACCTGTTTCATCTCATGGCACACATAAACTAATTACTAAAATTCTGCTGCACAGCAATATATATATATATGTGTGTGTGTGTGTGTGTGTGTATATATATGTATATATATATATATATATATATATATACACATATTTGCTGATCTAACAAAAATAGGTATGGTTTTGATTTATTTGCACCAGATGGCTATTGTTGTGTTGGCTGTTGTCATTTTTTTTTATTAGACAATCTAAGGGTAAAAGGTCAGTGCCCCTAACTAAATAGTCAGGTGTCTCATGTTCTAAAAATTCTTGTGGCACACCAGTTGAAAATCGCTGCTCTAACCCATTCTATGTTCTTAATGTGCTATCCCCAAACTTTTAAGTGGAGATCTCAATGTTTTAGAACAATCTTTGATAGGCCAGAAATCTAGGAATCATTCTTAGCATCTCCTTTCTACTCACTACCCGATTCTAATCCATCACAAAATAGTTACAGAAATTAAAGCAAACTGTCTCTTAAAATCATTTACGTCTCTCTATTTTCTTTTCCTCCAATCTATAAGCATGCCTTGTTAGAACTTTATTTTCCAATTTAATGAATGACTCTGTATATAGTTTTGATTTTTGAGCCATGTGAATGTATCACGTCTACAAAAATGCAAATCTGGTTGTTTCACACACCTAGCCTCAGGCTCCACCTAACCCCAAGCCTACACTTTAAATACTTTAATGGTTTTCTTTAAGACAAAGTTTTTACAGTTGCTTAAGATCCTGCATGGTTTTGCCTCTATTATCTCTCTTAACACATCTTAAACTGTTCTTTCTCCCACCCACTATGTACTAGCCCCACTGGCTCCCTTCCCTTCTTTTTTTTTAAATTTATTTTTATTGTTGAAAGTATTGCTGATGTCTCCCCTCCCCCATTGATCCCCTCCACCCCGCATCCACCCCACCCCCAGGCCTTCCCCATACCATTGTGTCCATGGGTTATGCATTTAAGCATATGAGCTTTCTGATTAATCTCTCCCCACCCACTCCCCCTCCCCACCTTCCCTCTGAGACCCCTCAGTCTGTTCCATGCTTCTATGTCCCTGGGTCTTCCTTTCAATTTCTCACAGGCAGTTTGCTCGCTTTCATGAATCCTCCTATGATTCTGTTCCCTTCCCTTCAAGATTATTTTGCCTCCTTTATGCCCAGTTAACTGACACTAATCCTTCAGATCTGTGCTCCAGCTCTTCTTCTCAGGCAGGCTATCCCTGACTCTTCACGACTAAATCAGGCGTTATTTACTCATGTAACCGTTCTTTCATAAAACCAGCTAAAGCCATCATTTTGCACCTATTTGTTGAGTTTATATTTGATTAATGCTTCTCCCTACCCCAGTTAGACTACATAATCCTTGATGGCAGAGGTGTATATGAAGGAATGAGAAAGAAACCAAAAGGCACATGGTAGGGACAACATATTCAAAGAGAGAAAATATAATGTGCAAAGGCACTAAAGAATATTGTGTTTTAAAGTTATTGATTATATTTTACTTTGTATTTATCAGTAAAAAAATATCCTTGGTCACAAAATTGATGTCTTTTAAATTCATCCTTTCTTAGTTCTAAGATTCTCAGGTCAAATTTTCAAGTTCCAGGTATTAAGTCATATGTGATTGGCATATGATATATTAACTATTATAGGGGCCATCTTAGTGATTTTTGTAGAGCTCAAAGCATCATAAACTGAAATATGTTTATAAGATAGCCTTATTTTATATATTTACTTTTAATTTCTAAGTTTCTTTTATAATGTAAGATTGACATGAAACAATTACCTGCATTGA